CCCTGCTTTCAGAAGAGAAGAAACCCTGAACTGGGGTGCGGGGGGCAGCTATTTTTGGAAGATTCTGCTTGGCTCCCTAAATCATCCCCCCCAGGACAGCCCCCACGCTCTCCACAGGTAAGGAAGGTGTTTCCCTCTGTGGCCCCACAAGAATCTTGCCCCAACCAGCTTTGGGTCTTCCTGAGGCAGCTTGCAGTGCCGCCAATATCCCCCGAGTTTTTTCTGGCTGACATCAGCAAGTCCTCGCCCAGAAGGGAGTGAGCGTGAGCCTGCGTTTTACCGTGGGAGAGACGTGCGTTTGGATGTCGTCTCTACCATCTGCCATCTTCGTGACAGCAGGCAGGTCACTTGGGCCCTGGGAACTTCATTCTCCATGTCTCAAACATGGGTGTGTCTACGAATTGCTCTACAGAGTTGTATAAAACCATGTGCCCTGAACTTGAGGAGCAAGTTAGAGGATGTTCGAGATAATTTTTGACGCTCTATAATTTTTGCCTGATATCCTGGCTTTATGTGGAATCACTTGCAGGGAAATAAAGTAGGACCAAGATCAGGCCAAGAGAGTAAATGAGACTTGTGAGCCCTGGCTGGGTGGCTCAGTGGATTGAGGGCTGGCCTGTGAACCAAAGGGTCACCGGTTCTAGTCCCAGTCATGGCACATGTCTGGGTTGCAGGCCAGGTCCCCAGTAGGGGGTGTACAAGAGGCAACCACACATTGATGTTTCTCTCCCTCTCTTTCTCTCTCCCTCTCTCTAAAGATAAATAAATAAAATATTAATGAGGAAAAGAGAGCCAAGGAGACTCCAAGGAGACTTCAAGGTAGACAGAAAAAGGTGCCTGTCAGCATAGTGCAAAATCTGAGGCCAAGGGATGTGGGAAGCAAAGCACAGGGAAAGAATGATAAATGTCAGTGGAGACAGACAAAAAGAAAAAGTAAATGCATCCATCTCAGGATGTTGGTGGCCACTAGTAGTAAAATACAAAATAACTTCAACCTATTTACACCATAAATATAAAACGATTTTTAAAGCTTACAAATGACGTCCATAAGTTCAGCCTAGGTGGACAACAACCACTTAGAGATCTTTCTCTGCAGTCACAGGAACGAGATCAGTGCACAGTTGCTGGGTCTGCACGTTTGCCTGGGTGAGAGCTGCACGCTCGCGGGGTGGCCTTCAGCCCCAGCTCGGCCTTCCGCCAGATTCTGCTGTGTCTCTGTGGCTTCAGCCTTGGCCTTTGCCAAGCGGAAGAGCTGAGCACTCAGTGTCCTTCCCGGCACCTCAGACTGGCCGTGAGTGATGACGGCGGCTGGGGAGATTGCCGACGCGTCCCACCAGCGCATCAGTCTGCAGTGGCAGAATCACGGCCGGGCATCGCAGTTATTGGTACTCCCTGAGTACCTGCTTTCCGGGGCAGGGGTTCCAAATTCTAGCAGAAACAAAGAGTGTAAGGTCTGATGATGGGCTTCTTATGTTGAAATGCTAACAGCCAGTTGAAGTGTATATGATTGTATTTTTTTTAAAGATTTTATTTATTTCTTTTTAGAGAGGGAAGGGAGGGAGAGAGAGAGAGAGAAACATCAATGTGCTGTTGCTGGGGGTCATGGCCTGCAACCCAGGCATGTACCCTGACTGGGAATCGAACCTGCGACCCTTTGGTTCGCAGCCCACGCTCAATCCACTGATTGAGCTACGCCAGCCAGGGCTTGTATTTTTAACATTGTAAAAGTAAAATGCTATAATAATTATTGAAGGTTATGGAAGGTGTTGATTCTGTGGAATAAATGAGAACTTTCAAATAGTTAAATAAATATATGAACAGTTAATATGAATATTGAGAAAATGTTATCCAGATACCTTTAGAAAGAATGTTATATCTTTTTTGAGCCTACGGATATTTATAAAAATGTAACTATTACTACAGGGGAAAGTAATAAAAGTTATATTACATCATAATTCTAATTACTGTAGAATAATTTGTTGCAATTGCATACATAACACTAAGTAAAATAGTCTTTAGATGCTGATGTTTAATTATTTAATTCTGTAATTGTTAATCAAATACTTAATCATTTAATTATTTAGTCTGTAAATCTTTAAAAAGAAAAGTCCTACTTTGTAATTTTTTACATGTCAGAGGGACATATTAAAAGCAGAATATTAATGCTTTTATGGTTTGAAATGAGAATATTAATATGGCTACTTCAAAATTTCACAAGGGAAAAATACTCAGGTACTGTGTAACACATGTATGGTAAATAATCTTTGCTTGAAACATAATTGAAAATATAGAGAGAGCATGAAAAAAGTTGAGAGTTTAGGTAAAATGAGACACCCCAAATACATTTGTTCCCTCTAAACAATTAACTTTACAAAAATGTTTTTGATAAGACAATGCCTCATGGTTTGGGAACTGTGAAGGCTAGTTTTTTTTTAAGCTTGTAGAAATAATTGCTATAGACTGATAATCGTTTTCAGCAGTTGAACAACAAGGATTTTTTTGAGATTTACCCAAGCCATGAATTCTAAATACTTTTCCTTTAGAAAAACGTGTAAGTACCTTTTCCTAATTTATATTTGCTATGTACAAAAAAATTAATGAAATTCTTTTTTTTTTTATATTTTATTTATTTATTTTTAGAGAGTGAAGGGAGGGAGAGAGAGAGAGAGAGAGAAACATCAATGTGCAGTTGCTGGGGGTGATGGCCTGCAACCCAGGCATGTACCCTGGCCAGGAATCGAACCTGCGACACTTTGGTTCGCAGCCTGCGCTCAATCCACTGAGCCATGCCAGCCAGGCTAGATTAATGAAATTCTTAAGTACGCTGCCACTGTCTCTGGTTTCTGTGACATTTGGACACAAAGGATCAACCTTAATTTCTCAGGTTCGACAACATAGAGGAGTGATGATTAATTCAACCATATTTCCACTTTCCTTACTTGACGAAAGATTCCTGGGTCCCACACGCAGAGTGAAGCTGACTGCAAGTAATATTCATGGAATGCAAAGTCAGTGAAGACAAATGCATGAAATTATCATTGACTGCGGACCAGATATGGTGAAGGCTAGGAGCACCGCACACTATAGTTTGTTTACACCCTTTCATTTTATATTCAGGGATGGAGGTAGCTTCAAAACAGGTAATAGAAAATAATTGGTGGTAAGTGGAAAGGTTGTCAGCCACTTCTGCCAATAACAAATTATATGATATACAGTAGATTTTGAAATTACCATGTACATATACAAAATATTTAAACAAGATGAAACAGCAGCTCTTAGGTCCTTTAAAGACTTAGAACAAAGAAAACCTTAATTTTGTGTTTTCCAGACAACATTGCATAGTAAGACTTACTAATGACCAATAGTTGCTTGCATAGAGAGCAGTTGGTAGGAACTTGCTCAACAAACTGACGTGCTTACATGATTCCTGCTGAAACGATTTCCCTTTGATTCCGTTCCAGTGAAGAAGATGCTACAATTCGTGTGCCTACAGGGAAAGCTAAGATGCAGGTGAAAACTTCGATTACTTTCTTAACTTGAAAACCGATTAAATTGCTTCATTTTCACATTTCTAGGTCCCACCTTTAAGGACAAATTATCCCCCTAGTGATTGTGTATAGGGGCAAGAACAGACAAAAACATTAGAAGTTGGAAATAAAAAATATGAGTACAACAACCTTAAACTTACTTCTGATAATAGGTATCTTCTTGAAATAGTGCACAAAACTTCAGTCTGTGAAATTGCTTCAATGAAATGCCATCACCATCCAAAAAATTTTCAAGACCAAGAATTAAAAGGTAGTGAAGTCTTTACCTTAATAAGTTCCTACTAGAGGAAGGACCACTTAATAAACTAGTAGCAATGTTACCGTATTATACTGGCAGACCTAGCCTTGCTGGCCCATGAATCTAGTTGAAAGTATCTTATTTAGTGACGTCCCTGTTTTAATGGCCTTTGAGGTATGCAGCAGCTGACTATCTACATTTTTAATAAAATTATAAAAATTAACATTCTTTCCGAGAAAATTCAGATTCTCCCCCTTTTTTTCTAGAAGTTCGTTCTGTCGTGATGATATTCTGATTTGGAGAATTACAATTTTTAATTGCCAAGCATTCCTTCCGACCAAACATACATTCAGGTATATTCAGGTATATCTCAACTGGCATACTGCAGGTGTAGCTACTGGCATACTGCAGGTGTAGCTACTGTCTAAAAATAGCTTAGAATGCAGGTGCCCCAACAGGATGGTTCTCATACTTTCGTGATTTATGTTCTTTGTTAGGGACATTGGCTTGATTCAGTTGTTGACATACAGGTTTAGGAAGACTATGACTCACTTGCAGCTTGTTTGAAATGAGAACTGTGCTGGAAACTCCGGATGACGTGACTGTCAACCCCAAACCCAACCTCCCTACGGAACACGAGCTTCTTTCCTGACCATTAGCACAGACCCAACAAACCGACCTCAGTGATCGGGCTGGGAGGACAACTGTACAGTAAGTTTTGGCCCTAACACGGACCACGTGGGTCGTGACCCGCTTCATCTAGGCAGCTACATGTGCAGTTTCTGGAAATGACGAACGTCCTCTTCGTCAAAGCCATGGGCCCCTCTGGCACCCGTCCTAGCCTGCAGGCTCCCTGACTCCCCAGCCCAGCACCTCACTCACTTCCATCTTTCTGAATTCGGCTACCTCCCGCCCCAGCGCCTCCCTTCGGGCGGTGCCTGCTCATTGGGCCGCCTGGAAGAAAACACTCCCCTGACGAACCCCGGTTGCGGCTGGGCCCTAAGCTGCAACCTGTGGATCGCTCCCAGGTGTGGGAAAACAACACCTTCGTTTGCTGGTGCAACCGCGGTGCACGAGCCCTGCTAGGCCAGCCGCGGGACGGGGAGTGTCCTCCAGGCCGGCAGGGGGCGCGCTGCGCGGAGGGCGGCGGGCGGCGCGTCTAGGCCGCAGCCGTGCCTGGCGTGCGCTCGGTGCCCACAAAGCGCCAGCTGAGGGGCCGCTGCGGTCCGATCGCTGCTGAGCTCCTCCGTCACTCGCGCTCCACCTCCGGCCGGCCGACCCTGCCGCTGCCCCTGCCCCTGCCGCGTCCTCTCGCCCCCAGCAGCAGGGCCCCGCGGCCACGCTAGCCGGGACGCGGAAGGCAGGCCGGGCGGGTGCCGCCTGTGTGGGGCCGTGCGGCGGCGACTACTGCGGGCCGAGCCGGACAGCGCAGGACCATGGCCGAGGCGGCCCCCGCTCCGGTAAGGGTGGCTCGCGCGCGGGGTGCTGTGTGCCCGGCGGGGTCCGGGCGTCTCGGCTTGTGGTCCCCGGGCCGGTGGGAGAGGAGGAGGGCGGGAAGCCGGGCCTGTCAGGAGCCGGGCTGCAACCGAGCGGAGCACCGGCGGCCCCGGGGTCCGCCGGCCGGTGCGGGGCCTGGGACCCCGACGCCCAGGGCGAGTGTGGAAGAGCTGGTCCCCTCCCGCATCCTGAGGCCCCGCCCTCGGTGCGAGGCCCCGGGCTCCCCCGCCGATCCGAGGGTTCCAACGAGCGCAGGGTGCCAGCCCCTTAGCGCCGGCCGGACGCGGGGTGGTGGGCTTGGCGTGGCGTTTTCATCGACCGTTCAACAGCTCCGCGCGCGAGATCGTCCTCGGTGCGGCCCCCCCGAGCCTGGCACAGCCACAGAGGCGGTGTGACAGTGGCAGGCGTGATCGAGGGACTGCGGGGGGTCAGGGATCCCCAGGGTCCAACACGCGGCAGTGCCGGACGCACAGGGGGGCCCTCCGTCAGTGCCCTGGGTGGGCTTACTTTGCGTGTTTATTCACTCAGGGGGCGTTGACTGCGGGCCTGTGGGCGCCAAGCCCTCCGCCAGCTGCTAGGGCTGCAAGTGACCGTCCCAGTCTGGGCACACGACACCCAGGCAGCGTGCGCAGGGACTAGACGACGGGCGTGGGGCTGGCGAGTTAGGTCTCGGATTTGCCGACTAAGAGGCTTTGGTCACCCGGAGGAGAGCCGTTTCCGTGGGTGGGGAGCCAGACGGGGCTGCTGAGGCGTGACTGGAAAACGGGAAAAAGCGCAGGAAAGAGAGGAGCAGGAGCAGTGGGGTGGGGAAGAGAGAGGAGCGGAATCTCTGCCCTGGACTTCCTTTTCCGAGCTTTACATACATAGACACACGTGTGTGCTCATGCATGCATGCATGCATGTATACGGTGGCAGTGGCACGTGTCTGCCAGCCCTGGCCAATAGAAATATAACGGAAACCACAGATCTCACTTGACATTTTCTGGTAGCCACACTTAAAAAGTGAAAAGGGATAAATGAAATTAATCTTGATCTATTGTATTTGACCCAGTGTATAGAAAGCATTTCCAGCGTGTGGTCAGAATCAGGAAATTAACCGAGTGTTGCGTGTGTCCCCCGCACTAAGTCTTGGAAATCTGGTGTGTATTACATGCCCACAGCACACGTCAGTCGGTGCGCACATGTCTGCTCAGTAGTCACATGTGGCTCCCGTGTCGAACAGTGCAGGGAGGTCTCACGGAGGAGAATCAGGAGGGATTGAAATATTGGCCCTAAAACAGAGGCGGGGCGGGGGGGGCAGCGCCCCTAAAAATGTGGAAGGTGTTGGCGTTGGGACCGTGAGTGGAAAGGTTGGTTTTAAATGGGGTGAAACTTTTTCCTGTGGGGAGGAAGGCCAGCAGGGGTTACGTGATTAATGAGTCTGAGATGGCAGGCGCGTGAAGGGAGAGTTGAGGGGGTTTTGGTCTGAGTGCTCTCATCTCCCCGGTGCCGTCTGAGAGTGAGGGCCCTGCGGTGGCCCGACTCAACACGTGCTCCCTGCTGGCAGTGGCAGCGGGATCACTGGGGAGCTGGTTAAAGATGCAGAATCTCAGTTTCCCTCCCAGCCCTGGCGAATCAAAGCCTGCATTTTAACCCAATGACTCTTGCGCACGTTAGTTGGAGGAGAGGGCCTGGGGTTCGCAGTGGGCACTGTAGGGATGGGGTTGGGAGGGGGGAGCAGCCTGGGTGCACCAAGAGAGGGAGTCCCCGCCCAGCTTAGAGACCGTTGGAGTATGTGCTGCCAGTCCACCTGGTTGGGTGACTCACTGGCCTGCCCACAGGAACAGGGGATGAGGAACGATTGGACTGACTCACACCTGGAGGGTGCTGAGAGGGCAAGGCAGGTAGCAGGGTGGAAGGTGGCTGAAGGGATCGCTGAGGAGGAGAACAGCGCTCGGAGCAGGCTGATGAAGCAGCAGCAAACGGAACCGTCGGGGGCTTAGTGGGGTCGCAGAGCAGGTGAAGTGAAAATAAGGTGGGGGGCGAGCTGGACGGGTGGGAGGCCGTGGCCGGAGTGCCGCGAACCACAGGGTCAGAAGTCTTTGTAATGCTCGGCTCACCTCCTATTTGTTGTAGGAATTTCTGTTTTTTTAAATACACTGTTTCAGTGTGTATGCAGTGATGGAACAGCCTATTACTTTCTTTAAAGATCTAGGTCAAAAGTGACTTATATAGGCCAGAGTTTGCTTGCCTGAAAACTCCACGCTGACTCTAGTTCCGCCCGGCGGAGTGACACAGTGTGAGAATAAACAGGTCTGCTCTGCCTCCTGTTTTATAGCCCTCCAGACCCAGCCTTCAAAGCGTCCTCACTGTTACTGAATGGTGGTGCGGTTGTGCTTGGTAGGCAGGGCCCTCTCGTAAGTCAGTGCGGGGTTTATCGGGGCACATGAGCGGGGTGTAACCGGGGACGTCCTGGGGCCCGCGGGCCTTTCCCACAGACAGAGTGCAGCAGCAGCAGCAGCCCGTGCCTGCGGGCGATCGGCTGGTTCTTGATCCAGTTTCACTTACTGTCTTAACCCGATCCCTCCCTGACCCACCAGCGGTTCTGGCTCTTGGTGCCGCTGAGCCCCGTGCCCGCGAGGCTTGTGCAGGCACTACTACTAAAGCTGTGTTGTACTGGGTGGATCTCAGATGCCCAGTTAAGCAGTCCTCATCTCCCTGGAGTTTGCATTCAGGCTCCACCTAACACTCAGTGTCTTGTCTCATCTCTCCACTGCACACAGACTTCGGAATGGGACTCGGAATGCCTCACGTCCCTGCAGCCCCTTCCTCTGCCCACGCCCCCAGCGGCGAGCGAGGCGCACCTGCAGACCGCAGCCATCTCCCTGTGGACGGTAGTGGCAGCCGTGCAGGCCATAGAGCGAAAGGTGGAGGTGCACAGCCGGCGACTCCTGCACCTGGAAGGGCGGACGGGGACGGCCGAGAAGAAGCTGGCCAGCTGTGAAAAGACAGTGGCTGATCTCGGGAACCAGCTGGAGGGCAAGTGGGCCGTGCTGGGCACGCTGCTGCAGGAGTACGGGCTGCTGCAGAGGCGCCTGGAGAACCTGGAGAACCTGCTGAGGAACAGGAACTTCTGGGTCCTGCGGCTGCCCCCGGGTATGAAAGGAGATATCCCAAAGGTAGTACCTCACTTCTAGACGGAAAGTGGTACCGCTGGTCCTCAGTAAGGGACAGTCTAGGGAGCCGTGGAGTCGTGTTGTGTCTGTCTGTTTGGGGAAGCACTTCGTGTTCAGTTCAGCGATCACCTGAGGGGCCAAACTTCAGACTGGAAACTCCAGATGAAGTTGGTGATCTGGCGGATGGATTTTTCCCTCTTTCGCTTTCTCCTGTTCATTACCCGCAAGTCACTTTCCTTTGCGAACCTGTCTGCCACGATCTTGATGTGGCAACTAAGTTAAATACCGTTTAACTGAGTCAGTTTGAATATGTTGGCAGTGCTGGTGAGAAAGGTGGCGGGGGGACAAGGGAAGGGACGTTGAGTAAGTGGTTGGGGTGAGGGCGCGGGGTGAGCGGTAGGTTCACGGCGCAGACCCCACCTTCAGCTTATTCACGGGAGGGGCGGGCTGCAGTGCTGGGGCCCAGCCTTCCCGGAGGGAATAGCCTTTAAAACAGAAGGAAATACACATCATTCTTAGCTATGGGAGACAGCCTGAGGCAGCCGGTCCCCAGCCGCGCCTGTTTGTTTATTCATTTATTCCATAGGGGTTTCTTGAGCACTTACTGTTTCGTCTGGTCTCTGCATCCTGAAAGGCACAGCTATGAACAGTTCATGTAAATTCCCCTGGAGCTTACATCTTAGTGGGGAAAGGAGGACAATATGAACAGACAAGAAAATGAATACACTTAAGTGCTCTGATAAAAAGGAAGGTGCTCCCCGGGCATTTAATTTAGATTGGCTGTCAGAGAGGGTCTCAGGGAGGAGCTGACATTCTGGCTGAGCCGACTGACGGGAAGGACCGGGCTGTGCAGAGAGGGAGGGAGGGCCTTCTGGCCGGAAGAGGAGCTAGCACCGAGTGGAGTCCCGAAGGCACCAACAAGCTTGGCCGGGGCGGAGAGAAGGGAAATAAGCACCATTCGGGACTATGGCAGATAGTAGCCTTGGCAGGGTGGGTGTGCAGCGAGCGGAGGGGGGCGTGGCTGGAAGAACGGCCGGGCTGGGTCGGGTCGCCTAGGGCAGCGTTTTTCGGCCCTGGCCGCACACAGGCGTCACCTGGAGGGTCTTTAAACTTTGGGGAACTTCACCCCCTCGAGATTCCGATCCAGTGGGTCCGGGATGGGGCCTGAGCACTAACGATTCTTAAAGCGCCATAGCTGGCTCTGACGTGGGACTGGGCCTGTGAACCACTGACATAGGACGTCGGAGACCGAGGTAAGGAACTTGGATTTTATCTTAGCACTGCTAAGGGAAGAAGTTGGAGGGGTTTGAGCAGAGGAGATGCATCTGCTGTGTGTTTTAAAGGAGCCACTTTGGCTGCTGGGTGGAGAATGGACCGGGGCGGGAAGAACAGAAATGCGAAAACGAGGAAGGCCACTGTAATGGCTGGAGGGATGAGAGTGGCTTGGATGAGGGTGTCAGCAGTGGCGACGGGCACGAGAGGACAGCGTGGGGACGTTTGGGTGGCAGAGCTGGTGATAGGCCTTGCTGGTGGGAGTCAGGGCATGAGGAACTGAGAACAATGCTTCTAAGTCCACCGTGTGATAAGTTATCTCCATAGTTTCTGTTATCTCCATAGAACCCTAACCTGTCCCAGATCACACAGTTACTAAGTATAAATAACGGCGTTATATTTAGCCCAGAGAACATGCTCTTAGGTTCACTGACTCTTAGCCTTGAGCTTGAGGAGCTGCAGGGGTGTTGACGATTCCTGAGGTGGGGACGCTCTTGGGGGTGGGGGGGTGGGGGAGGTTTCCTTCGGCAGGTTGGCGATGCCGTGGCACGTGCAGGAGAGGTGTGGAGTGGCCTCTGAAGCCCGAAGGTGAGGCGTGTCTGGGCATCGTGGATGTGCAGGTCGCAGTGTAAGCCGTGAGCGAGAGAGGGGTGTCCGCAGGAGAGAGAGCGGAGGAGTGGGAGAGGGTCCGAAGGCAAAAAGCTCCGGGGGTGGGAGGAGGGGTGGCCGTGCGGCGGACAAGAAACCAAACAGGGAGGTGTGTGCGGTCCCGGGGATGAGGGGAAAAGGTGTTTCAAGGAGAGCGTTGGTTTGGATTGTGTTTGCTGCTGGGAGGTCTGGAGAGATGAGCGTGGTGAATGTGACTGGGCAACGCAGGCCTCGCTGGCGACTTTGACCAGAGCTGTCCCAGGGCCGCGGTGGGGACAGGGCTGCGGGGAGAGTGAGGGTCACTGACCCCGGTGCTGAGCCCAGGGAGCTCCCTGGGAGGGGTCTCTGAGTCCGTGTCCGGTGGGGACCCTTCCCCCGAGTGGTTTATCTTTGCTTAGGATAATTTACTTAGCGTTTGCTGTAACAATAACAGAAAAGGTAAGTTAAAGTTACTTATTGTCTTCCCTGGGTAAATGGGTAACACTTAAACTGTCCGTCTTAAACTCTAAAATCCTGTATAGAGTACTATTGTGATTTCTCTTAAAGATTCCTTAATGAAATCACATATATTGAAGATTCGCTAGATCTGTATATGGGAAGTAAAGTTATGTGTCCTTACTTTGTTGAAAATACTCTTATTCTGCCCCTACTTTTGAATTCCAAGTGCCAAATAATTTTCCCTCCAAATTTTTTCTTTATTTTAATTTTTTAAATGGTGGGAAGCCATCCGTGACAGTGACCGTTCTCACCACGTTTAAGTGCGCAGTTCAGAGCCAGGCAGTGCGGTCACGTGGTGTGGCCACCGCCACCACCCGTGCCCAGAGCTCCCAAACTGGAGCTCTGTCCCCCAAACACTCTCCCCCTCTCCTCCCCTCCCGCCCCAGGCACCCACAGTCTACTCTGTTTCTCTGGGAATTTGATGATTCTTACATAAATGTAAGACAAATCATCCAATATTTGTCCTCTTGGGACTGGCTTATTTCACCAACGTCACATCTCAGGTTCACCTGTGTTGTAGCACGTCAGAATTTCCTTCCTGTTTAAGCCTGGGTAGTATTCCACCTCTCTCAGAATGCTAAAGGCATCGGCCCTTGGTCTCACATCGTCAGGTGCCACCGATGGAAAGCTGACCACCGAACCCGTTCTCGTTTGTTTGTGAGAAATCTGTGTGTTCTCTGCACAAACTCTTATCTCCTCTCGTACTAGTTTTCCTGACATTTACTGCGGAAATGTCTGGGTGTGGGTCTCTCTGCATCTGTTGTGGGCAGCTGGCGTGGCCTGTCCGTCAGAGGACTGGCGTCCTCTCAGCTCCGGGGGGTTTTCTTCTGCGAATCTGTAGTTGTGACATTCTGTCCCTCTGGCTTTTCTTCTGGTTTCCTTTTGGAGCTAGTTTGACAGGTGATGGATTGTTGTCTTTTAACTTTTCCTACATTTTTTCACCTTTTTAACCAGAGTTCCGTGACCTTGCAGCCTTCCAGCCTTTCTACTTTTTATTTTAACAATTACATGTTTAATTTATTTTCTGCCCTGGCCAGGTGGCTCTGTTGGTGCCGCATCATCCCGTACACCAGAGAGGTTGCAGGTTCGATCCCCAGGTGGGGTGGGTATGGAAGGCAACTGATCTTTCTCTTAAAAAAAGATAATAATAAATCAATAAACATATCCTTGGGTAAGGATTAAAAAGAGAATATTTCGCCCTGGCTGGCGTACCTCAGTGGATTGAGCGCGGGCTGCGAACCAAAGTGTCACAGGTTCGATTCCCAGCCAGGGCACATGCCTGGGTTGCAGGCCATAACCCCCAGCAACTGTACATTGATGTTTCTCTCTCTCTCTAGCTCCCTCCCTTCCCACTCTAAAAAGAAAAATAAATAAAATCTAAATTAAAAAAAAAAGAATATTTCCTGGTTCTTTTTTAAAAGCAGCTGGAATTTTTTTAATGGGTGCAATATGTATTTGACTTTCTCTGAGACTGTATGTTAGTGGTTTGTCTGATTTCCAGTTTATTGTGGTTTTTTTTTGCCTCTAGGGTTGTTTGTAGTGTTTGTCTTGGTGCTGTTAGTTTTTTGTTGTTGTTTTTTTTTAACATTGAGTAACCCTTGGTCGTACACATGTAAGTGGAGGATTCGATTGATTAACGGGGTGCTCACAGGAAGCAGCATGTCTTCTCGCCCACTGCGCAAGTCTCTTTAGCCCGAGGACCTTCCCTCTGCAGGAGAGCGCTGGGGCTTAGGTGCTCCGTACACGGGGGCTTCTCTTTAAGGAGCCGTGGTGTGGAGCAGATAGGCAGTGCAGGGACCACGCAGGGCCCCCAGTAAGACCACACTCCCGGTGGTCACCCGTGCCTGGAGGCGCCGCTGTCCCCAGGCCGGTGGGTGGATTTCCTCTCAGATGAGGTCTGTGGCTTCAGCTTTGTGGTGGAGGCTGCTGCTCCTTCCTCTGCCGGGCGGATGAGGACACTGGGGGGGCCGCTCTTCTAAAGACAGACCTTCAGGTGCAGTTTGGAACCACTTGCACCTCTGCCCAGTGTGCCCGCCAGCTCGGAGCTTGGGGCTCTCCGGGACCCCCAGCTGCAGCCCTTGCCTGGCGTGGGGAGGTGCCGCCGCCTCCTCCACCTCAGACCCCAGCATGGGCCCCAGTGAGAGGAACCCCCCAAAAGTTCTGATCCTAGAGATGGCGTCTCCTCCTCACCCTTGGTGCTGCTGCGGGTGGTCCCTCCTGATCTCACGACGGTCATTTCCGTGGAACTCTGGGAGTGCGTGTGCGTTGTTCACCTCCTTGAACTGGAAGCCGTCCTGACCCTTTATTTCTGCTGTTATTTTATGGTCTGTACGTTTGCTGTAAGTTATCACACACCTTTTGTGTGGTGAGAGTAGGTAAAAATAAACTATTGGGTATCTATATTTGCCCTGAGACTAATTTTAGGTGCTGAGCAAGTTGTAAAAATGGGCAATTTATGGTTCTAGCCTGTTTGTAACCTGCCTGTCCCTTAGGGCCAGCCAAAGTCCTATCTCTTCTAGACTCACCACAGCCCAGGTTCCAGAATTTCTCCTCCATGTCATTAGTTTGAATACAGCCGCGGGCTCCTTTTGGACAGAGAGTTTATTTGTATAACAGTGGTGCTTAGGATAAACCTTGTATGTGGTGGATGTTCAGAATCTGCTGTGTGGTGTGGATGAAACATGCCGCCCATTTGCTCCTGTCTCTGTGACCGCAGCCTGAAACGCGCCGCCTTTCTCCTGGAAACGTGGTCAGCTCTTGGAGGCTGGATCTGGGTCTCCAGTTTTTCCTGTATCCCATCAGCAGCTCACTTAGTTTCTTACAGCCAGACAGCACTTAGTACAGATTACTGAGTGGCTGAGTTGCGGTGGCAGAGACTGACCCCGATGTCATTGTGATTTCAGGTGCCTGTGACATTCGATGATATCTCCATCTACTTTTCCACTCCTGAGTGGGAGAAGTTGGAAGAATGGCAAAAGGAACTTTACAAGAACATCATGAAGGGCAACTACGAGTCTCTCATCTCCATGGGTGAGGCTGAGTGGGCACCTTGTGAGTGAGTGAGGCCACAGCAGCCCGCGGAGAGCGCAGAAGAGTCCCTTTTCCCCCGGTGGTCCTTGCTTTCGTGCGGTCCTCGCACGCCTCAGAGTCTGGCTCCAGGCCAGAGATTTCCAGTTCACCCTTGCTAACTGGGAAGTGTGGCTTCTCCTCGAGCCAGTCAGGACGGAGAAGAAGTTCAGGGTTACGGATGTGCCAGCTGCAGTGGGATCCGTGGGTGCCCTTCACTTGGAGACGGCCTCCACCCCTCCCCTCGGGACACACTGTCGCCCCTGCTCAGTGAGAGAGGCAGGCGGGACGCGCTCCAGCAGCACGGTGCAGCTCCCACCGTTGCCTCTCCCCTTCCCGGCCTTTCTGACGGACACCGTCCGCAGTGGGAGGCGCAGGATGGGTGGGGGGAAGTGATTCCGAGTCTAAAAGAGATCCCCTTGGACTGGGGACCGCAGAGCCTTCGGCTCAGCCTCGATGGCAATTCGTTATCATTCTCATTTATCTCTTTTGTCATACCCCTGTCCCTCCTTCCTCCTAGATTATGCCATGAATCAACCTGATGTCTTATCTCAGATTCAGCCAGAAGGAGAGCATAATACAGAGGACCAGGCGGGGCCAGAGGAAAGCACCATTCCCACGGACCCCAGCGAAGGTAGGCGGGAGCAGAGGTTCGCCGCTCTGCCTTTCCTGGTCGGAGGTGACGGCCCAGCACAAGGAAGCAGGGCTGGGGGCTCCCCGAGCCTCTCCGTGCTGCGGCAGCCAGACTGGCCAGGTCGGTAGCAGGGCGAGCGGAGAGGTCACCTTGTCCGTGCCTTCACCCATCAGTACCACACGGCCGAGGGCTACTGATTGCATTCCACGACAGAGGTCGTGAGCCCTTGTTATTTAGTAAAACAGACACGTCCGTAGATGGCAGGGCGAGCAGTGCTGTTCCTGTGGAGGGACGTGGCTTCCGGGACTGTGCACCTGGCCGCAGAGAAGTGCCGGAGGGGCTGGGGCCATCTCTGCGTGGTCCCTCGGAGACGCTCCTAACCCGGGGGCCCCAAAGCAGGTGTCGCCCAGTGTGGGAGCCAGCTGTCGTTAAGTAACCCTCCCCATTGTTTTCGGCTGGCAGCTGCTTGGTCCTGTGTGGGAAAGACTGCTAGCCAACGTCGAGTTGTGTTTTTTCCTCAAGTCCCCCCTGTGCTGCAGAAAACTCTCACGCCGTTTTTGCTCTTTGCTGGACAGAAGGCTCACCCTGCAGGTGTCTCTACCAGATGCGCTTCTCTTAGCTAGTGGGTTACTGAACCGGAGGGTGGTCTTGGGACCCCAAACGTAGCCTGGAACTTTTCCACAACGAAAACAAGTATCCCATACGCTGTTATTTTTTTCCGTAACATTTTATTACAAAAATTTTCAAACATCAGAAAAGTCGAAGTAGTTTTATAGTGAACACCTAAATACCTGTCACCTAGATTCTACCACTGACATTTCACTCGTTCACCCACCTCTGCGCCCCCTCTCCACCCATCGGCCCGCCGTCCCGCCCACCCTGTATTTCACAGTCAGCGCACACACCAGTGCGTCCCCCCGAGCGTTCAGCGTGAAGGGCACCAACCCAGCGTCCAGTGTTTTTTCTCTTGAGGTAAATTTCCCGTCCACTGAAATGCCCAAATCCTAAGTGACTGTTCTCTCTGAGGTAAGCACATACCTGCTACACGTTATTTTTAGGGCTGTGTGGGTGACAGTATTTCTGCAACGTAACAGATTGCATTTGATTAATATCAACGTCATGGATATATGTAATGAGCCTAAACTTACATCACAGATAAAGGTGGGTGACTTAGCCAGAAAGGTTCGTTATTGGAAGGAACTCTTTAGTCTGCTCCTGTTAGCCACCCGACATAACCCTCAGCGAGCAAAAATCAGTGTGTTGTTTCTCCTTGGGGACGAATGGAGAAGATGTAAGTAATTTGGTTTTGTAATGATGTACGAGAGATTCGTTTACCTTCCATCTTGTCAACTTGTGGGCAGCCAGCCTGTAGACAGTACTTCATTTTTACTTAAAATTACGTACAGTAAGCTCTGGAGTCACCTAGTACTGTGGTCTGATCTGCACAGTCGTAGCTGTCATTAGCGATTAACCACCTAGGGACTCCCCAGAACCTGAGGGCAGGAGGCACAGGACTTCCAGGGCGTCCACGGGCCACGCTGGAAGAAGAAGAGTTGTCTTGGGCTACATATTAAATACGTTGCAACACAGAATCACACACAAAAAAGTCATAACATTTTAAGTAAATGAACAATTTTGTGTCGGGCCACGTTCATAGCCACCCTGGGATGCATGCCGCCTGTGGGCCACAGGCTGGATGCCCTCGCTTAGACCCGTCAGTGCACAGCATTGAAAAAGACCCTCCGTGTGTCTGTCTGTAGAACCCTTTAACCCTGGTGCTTCTATCCCTCTCTTTCTCCTTTCCCCTCTCTCTATAAATAAAATCTTCAAAAAAAAAAAAAGAATCCTTTGTATTCTCCCCTTTTATGTTTAACTATATATCCAAGAGTTATTTTTATTAAGTCAGTTATTTTCTTTGTGGTGTTCAAACTGTCAACTTGGCAAGTGAGAGGACTTCAGGTTGTCTCCTGGGTCCTTCCAAGTACTGCCTCAGTGCTTGTTTTCTTTAAAAAAAAAAAAAGTTCCGGGCTGTATTTGGGGCTCCAAGACCGCCTTCCGATCCGGTAGTCCACGAGGAGGACGCCTGGGGCCCAGCGTGTAGCCACGCCCGCGGCTCAGATTTACTGCAGCGAAAGGATACAAAGCAAGCGGCAAAGATAAAAAGCAGCGGGCAAGGTCTGGCGGAAACGGAGGAGTCTGAAGAGTCCCCGTCTCCGTCCAGGACACGCTTAATTCCTCCAGCAGAGCTGTGACAACACTCGCAGGGTGTTATCTCCCAGTGAAGCTGATTGGGGACTCGGCACCCAAGGTTTTCCTGGGGGCCGGTCTCGTGGGCCCCCTCCGCCCAGCACGTGCCCCAAGTCCCGGCTCCCAGAAGGAGAGCAGCGGCTGCTTGGCGCAAACCGCACTGGACAGCACTGGACAGCAGAGGCCCACCGAGGCACTCTTAACTGTCAGGGAGGCTCTCTATCAGCGCAGACGGCAGCGTGCCAGCCAGGGGCCAGCCTTGCGAGCAGGCCTTTCTGACAACAGGCCTGTGTGGGTTTCTGTTCTCCTTGCACATTACAAAAGTCCTGGCTCACCCTGGCCAGGTAGGTCAGTTCGTTGGAGCGGCGTCCCAAAGCACCAAGGTTGCAGGTTCGATCCCCAGTCAGGGCACAAACAAGGGTCAGCCCATGAATGCATCAGTGAGTGGAGCAACAGATGGACGTTTCTCTCCCTCTCCTTTTCTCATTCTAAAATCAGTCAATAATGTTTTTTAATTAAACGGTCCGCCATTAAGGTGCATAACCAGTCCTTTCGCATGAAACCTGTGTGGAGGATGCTGGTTTTAGGTGACTTTAGTGACAGAACTAATAAAATGTCTTTTTGATAGGTGATTGTCCACTTGAACCATTTAAGTCATTAGAAAAAGCTAATCAAATTTTCTGATTTTCAAGCAAGCAAGCAACTTCTCTAACATCATCTTTTAATCAATTTTAATACACCGTGAAATGTGTTGTTAGGCCAGTGTGTTTATATTAGAATATTGATATGCTTGATTTTCTAAAATACATGTCAGATTTTATCCATTGTCCTTGTAAAACCCAGAATTTCTTATTGTATTACATTTTAGGGCTTTCAGAAGAACTGCGCATTATTATTAAATAAAAATATATAGGTGGAATAGAATTAATTTTATGCTTCCTCTCCATCATCTGCATCTGATAAAGGGAAAGAGAAACTATTATATCCTCCTTCAGAATAGTCATTGATGCCTGCTGTCTGGGATCAAATTGAATACAATTACTAGAGAATAGAATAGTAAGTAGTGAATGGGAGAATACAGAAAAATATAAACTTGAAATTTCCTGAGATTATTCTTTAACTCTGACTAGGGCCAAACTGCAGACCACCTGTATGTGTGGTTATTCTTTGGTCACTGATAGTATATACTTTTTTTTTAATCCTCACCCGTGGACATTTTTTCATTGCTTTTAGGAAGAGAGGAAGGGAGATGAGAGAGAAAGAAAGAGAGAGAAACATCAGTTGGTTGCCTCCCATACACACCCCGACCAGGGATTGAACCTACAACCTCTACGTGCCCTGACTGGGAGTCGAACCCCTAATCTTTTGTGTTGGGGATGACGCTCCAACCAACGGAGCCACACCGGCCAGGGCAACCACCACTTTTTCTTGATCTATGGAAGGACACTTGAGCTGCTTCCATACCTTGGCTGTTGTAAATAATGCTGCGGCAAACATACAGCTCCCTGCGTCTTTCAGATTTACTGTTTTGGATTTCTTTGGGTAAATACCCAAAGATGGAACTGCTGGGTCCTCCTTTGTCTCTTGTTATGTGGCCTTTGCTTTAAAGTCTGTTTTGTCTGGTGCAGGTGTTGCTACCCCTGCTTTGTTTGTTTGTTTGTTTGTTTGCTTCCATTTTCATGAAATATCTTTTTCTATTCCTTCTGTCTCTGTCCGAGGTGAGCTGGGGAGACTCCTTGGATGATTTTTACTTCGTGTGCATCATCACCATTGTCCCATGTTTATCGCTGTTCACGCTGGGCCAGCAAGACCTCCTTTTGACAAACAAAACCAGCGGTTAAGTCACATCCAATATAATCCTTTTATTTTAGTTTATCCTATTTGAGAGCACAAATCGTCCTGGAAATGATTAGAGGTTTTTAATTATTGCACAAATACTTAACATATTCACTCAACTATGTTATAGCCCCACACCTGTTTCACAGAAAATTTCAAAAAAAAGGTTTTATATTTTTACCAATGGTAGTTTCATGTGTCAAATGTTTTTATCATCTGCTTGAGAAGTCAGACTTCCTCATAGTTAAAATTATATTCAACCAGTGTAGATGTTATAATCTTATATTTTCCTGTGATCAGACTTCCTATTTTTAACTGCCTCTCAAACCTAAAACCTCAGCGTTTATCGACTCTCTCACCTGGTCAGTATTCGGTTTTTCTCGATTATCTGGCTTCCTCCAGAGCCCACAGTTTGCATAAACCAATGACGTACGTTCACTTGTGTCTCTTAAGTATGCACTGGCGGGATTCCTCAGGCCTCTGAGGAGTGTGCTGCTCCAAGGGCCATGGTGGCGACCTGGCCAGCAGCTGCCATGCCGTCACCACGCAGGCGTCCACGTCAGGCCATCTCAATGTTCACGCCGTCCTGCTCCTTCACTTCTGAAAGGTCCCCAGGTCACACACGCCCACCAAAGCTCGGCGGATGTAACTGTATTCTATGCATTCTGTGACTGTAGGGTTAAGACCCAGTTGTTCAGTACAATAAAAATATTAGCTTGGTTGTACTGATCTAGTTAGTTATGCAACCGGAGGAACTTTTAGCATCAGTATTCAAAACGAATGGTTAGCGTCCTAGGGTTTCCCAAGTTCAGTGAAGACACACTTAGTCAGTGAGCTGGGTAACGACAGCCACGCGCACTTCTGGAGAACTGGCTTGCTCTTTTTCAGCCCTGCGTGGCTTTTATGGCTGGCTGCTGGCTGATATTGTAACAAAAGGTTGGAAAGAATTCAAGTGCCCATCAGTAGGGAATTCCTGGGTAAACAGTGGATCAGCTACACCGAACAGCTATGACAAGGAGGGAGAAGGGTCCCTGTTGGCTGCTCTGGGCATGTCCAGGATATACTGCAAGTGGCAGTCAAGGCGCAGCACAGTTTGTGTAGCGTCATGGATGCAGAGGGGAATTATCAAGGTGCGTGCATACTGGCTTACAGTTTCACAAAGAAACGATGGAAAATTAAAACACAACCAGTAAGAACAGCTTGGAAGCTAGACCTTCTGAACGTACTGTATTTTACAGTTTTGATTTTGGAATCTTGTAAATATTTAATATAAAACTTTTGCGGGTTCGCTCTCCCTCTCAGGAGCATGCCCGAGTCTTTCCCTCCCCCCTCTCCTCGCCCCCAGGCACGGCACCTTTGCTTTTCTGTCTCCTGAGCCCGAGGGCCCTTCTCTTGCTTCTGCAACTTGTTTGCTGCGCCTGCACAGCCCAGCCGGCCCACTGCTACCACCTCTGTCACTTTCTAGATAAACTCTTATTAAAAAAATTTTTCTTTTAAATCAAACATGCCAAAACAAATAAACTATATCATGCTGGTGACAGATACAAATGCATAGAGTACAAATTTCTTCCAAATAACATTAAAACATAGTATTTTAACGATATATCCCTGAAGGAATATATCCTAAAGACCAAAAGTACCAGCAAAGTACCACTCAATTTACATTGGGTTCATGTTTTTGTTAATGATACTGGCATTGTTTTGAAACATATATTCAGAAAAGCAGAGATCATGTTAATGTCATTCAAAACCAAACATTTTCAGGGTAATACAGAAAAGATACAAGTGCTAAATCAAAGGATTTCATTAAAAGCCTGTAACCTTAAATATGAGTGTAAACTCGTAACACTTTCCTTTTCCTAAAAGGCGTGTGCTTTATAGCTCTGTCCATTGAAGCAGTGACAGCCCGGTACCAGTTAGCATCCTTGTCGCCCTGACTGTGGTCTCCAAATCCCATTTCTTGGAGATCGTTGACCGTGTGCCCGGAGCAGGGAGCATCCAAGGCGAGCCTGGGGTGGCGCGCTGCACCAGAAATGCAGAAACCGGGTGCTCCACGATGTGAAATGACGCAGAGCGGACCTGAGGGGCACCTGCTGGCCAGAGAGGGGACAGTTGGAGCCTTAAAAAGAATAATGACTGCAGTGGATTGTAACTCATCAGATGTATAACATCATAGGAACCCATAATGCTGAGCCAAGAAGAGTCAGACCACTGGACTCACCGAGGTTTCGAGGGCACTAACCTGTCACTCAGAAAACGGATGCGGAGAAGCAGTGAAGCATTTAAAAGTCTCATATTGTTGATGAATAATAGGAAGTTCATCCTCCATATGTCTGTTAAAGATCGTCTTCCTTATCGCTGCCCGTGGCCCTCCCGCGTCTCTCTCTGTGCCTGTGTTTGTCGAGAATTGGGCCCTGGCCGGGCGGCCCCACTGCCTGGAGCGCCGTCCTGCGCTCTGAAAGGTTGCAGGTTTGCCCCAGGCAGGTGTGGGCAGGGGACACCTGAGGACGATGTTTCTCTCTCTCCCCCTTCCTCTCTGTCTAACTAAAATCAGTGAATGTATTCTTGGGTGAGTGTTTAAAATTTTTTTTTTAATCTGGAAGAAAAAGGAAAGATGAAGTCGGAGTATGTTTCACAGATTTTAGCCTTATAACTCAGAGTAGGAGGTTGAAGAGGCAGCCTGCCACGTGCGCTGACATCTGTCCCTCCGGTCTCTCCACGTGACCGACAGTCCTTGGGGCCGTAGCCCTGTCCAGCCTCTCACCGGCCTTGGGCGTACCTTCACGTCTCAGGGGCCTCTGCCAGCGTTAAAGGCTTCGGCAAGACCAGTGAGTTCTCACTGGCCAGCAGTAAAGCCATGACCTGCTTACAAGGCTTTTCTGGGAAACAATAGAGAGAGCATGAAGTTACTCTCTGGACCCTGTCAGCTTGCCAGCTTGTCCTTTTAGGCCAAAAAAGGTTCTGTGGGCCTCGGCTGGGATGGCAGGCACAGCTGCTTCGGCACTGACCGAGGGAGGCGTGGTGTGTGTGAAGCCTTTGGAGGCTGCTCTTTCCTCCTTTCTGGGAGCATCCATAAGGCCTGAGGGACTTACAGATACAGTTCTCTCCTCACCCCCGCACACCGCCCCCCTCAGGAAACAAGGACCTGTGTCATTTAATAAGCAAAGGTACTACGATCTCTTAGGAAAAGCCTAGAATTGGGAATCTGAAAAGTAACCTTTCTGAGGAGTCAGGTCTGTATTTAAACTGATCCAACTTTCTAATTCCGGAAGTGTATTTGGTTTTTAATTAACATTTAAGAAGAAAAAATTTTGGTCAATAGTGTTTCTTTTTTTGTGCTGTATTTTAAAGTAAACATTTGAAAATGTGCTCTTTCACCGTAAAGTCTCCCTGTGCATTTAACACCTGTGGGCCCTCGACTTAAACGGAGAGAATATTCCTGTTTCCATTATTTCATTAAAAAGCTGCAAGACAAAACAATGAAAGGATTTTAAAAATAATTGTGCTAATGAAGTGAAAAGTACTATTGATTTTAGATTATTTCAGGGTGTCATCTCCAAAATAAAAATTGATTTGTTTTGAGATAGGCTCACTGAAAGTAGTAAATCAAGCTGAGTACTATGTACCTCCTGTAAAAATAAATAAATTTGCCTTCATTTCGAACCGGGTCTCTAGGTGTTGTATGCATTTTTTTAAAGGCCGGTTCAGTTTTGTTGTTCTCGTTGGTTAGCGTTAAATGTGGGCAAAACATAGTGTGCAACAAACCACCGTGGTTATTTTCACTTTCTGATTCAAGTCTCTGAAGGCTGTTTTCTTTTCCCCCACAAACAGAGCCTGGCATCTCAACATCAGATATTCTGTCTTGGATTAAACAAGAGGAAGAGCCCCAGGTCGGGGCCCCCCCGGAGTCCAAGCAGAGTGATGTGTACAAGGGTCCCTACGCCGGTGAGTACGCAGTCAGAGGCCTTTGCGGCCGGTCCAGCGTGTGCCGGGGCTGCCGGGAGACACGGCGGGCGACGTGATCTGTGGAGGCGAGGGGTGGGAGAACACTGGGAGAAGGGCAGGAAAGGACCTGCCCGAGTGAGTTAGAGATGAAACCCAAATCAAACAAAGAAATTTAAAGTGAGAAGGCACTTTTAAGTATGAAGACAAATCAGCATTGTCAGAGGAAGAAAAATAAGTACATACAGATAGACCAAAAATAGGGTGGAGAAGACAGGAGAACATTTAAATATCACGGGGAAAGGACAGAACAAGGGGGGGCAGGGCAGGCAGGCGGGCAGGCAGGCAGGCAGGCGGCGGAGACGAAAATGTCAGTGGGAGGCGCAGGCGGGAGTGTCGGCGCGGGGCTGGCCCTCGGCAGGAGCGGTGACGGGAAACGAAACACGCCCGTTCCTTCTGCCGCGCTGAGCGCCCTCCCTGCTTTGCCATCTGAATCCTAAAAGAGAACCTCGAGGTCAGAAGGGACCCGATTGTTTACATAACTCCATGCAACCTGATTTCCAGTGTCCCCCATGCCTCGGGTTCTTTTAGACTCTAGGAGATAAATGAGACCGTTTCTGCGCTCCAAGGTACTTATCCCAGGGACACGCACATCAACACTGGGCCCGCCTGTTGTGAAGTGTGCAGGGCGAGGGGGACAGATGACCTGTACACAGGAAATGAGATGTTTGCAGAACACGCACCGGCTTCAGTTTACGTTCTTAGATAAGGCCTAGGGAAGGATGTGGAGCCCGAGCTGGGCCCTGGAAGGCTGGTACGCTGGGGCTGGGTGCGAGGTGGAAGAGAGGGAGGCGTTGTACAAAAGGAAGACAGGATGAGCAGAGGCGCGGGGCAGAACTGCGCACTTCACTTCCAGGGCCCGTGGGAGAGCCAGCGATCACGGAGGGTGGGCCTGGCAGAGCAAAGAGGGGCAGCAGGAGTAGACTAATCCGTGACTGTGGACCCGGTCACGGTCACGGTAGGCCGCGGTCCCTCCCGAGGCCGGTGAGCGGAGGAGGGACGTGATGAGAGCAGTGCTGAGAAGCCTGGTGCGAAGGTGGTTCCTTTTCCCAGCCGGGGGCATTGAGGGGGTTCAGGTGATTTGCCGCAGGGTCTGTGGGCGGTGTGACGATTTGCTCCGCCCTCCACGGAGTTAGGTACGTACGTACGTAGGGGAGCAAACCGAGAGCTCCGGGCAGACTGTGAGAGCTCGGGAGGGCCACCCAGTGGCTGCGAGACCTGCGCTGGTGGGCATGACTCTGAGTCCTTTCTTTCAGATGAACAGCTCGTCATCAAAGCCGAAGGCCTTACCAGGGCCTCCTTGTGCCCGGAGATTCCAGTCCCCTTCCCTTCTCCACCAGCAGTGGCAGCAAAGGATACTTTTTCAGATGTGACTTTCAAAAGCCAGCAGTCTACGTCCATGACACCTTTTGGGCGCCCGGCCACTGACCTGGCGGAAGCCTCTGAGGGCCAAGTGACCTTCACGCAGCTGGGCAGCTACCCCCTGCTGCCGCCAGCCGAGGAGCAGGCGTTCTCTTGCCACCACTGTGGCAAGAGCCTCAGCCAGGACATGATGCTGACCCACCAGTGTAGCCACGCTGGCGAGCACCCCTTGTCCTGTGCCCAGTGTCCCAAGCACTTTCCGCAGCCAGCCGAGCTCGGCAGCAACCCCCAGGCCCACGCCGGCGAGGCGCCCCCCACCTGCCCGCACTGCGCCAGGACTTTCACTCACCCCTCCAGACTCACCTACCACCTCCGGGTCCACAACAGCGCCGAGCGCCCCTTCTCCTGCCCTGATTGCCCAAAGCGCTTTGTAGACCAGGCCCGCCTCACCAGCCACCGCCGGGCTCACGCCAGCGAGAGGCCCTTCCGCTGCACGCAGTGCGGCCGGAGCTTCAGCCTAAAGATCAGCCTCCTGCTGCACCAGCGCGGGCACGCGCAGGAGCGGCCTTTCTCCTGTCCCCAGTGTGGCATCGACTTCAATGGCCACTCGGCCCTGATTCGCCACCAGATGATCCACACGGGCGAGCGCCCGTACCCGTGCACTGACTGCAGTAAGAGCTTTATGCGCAAGGAGCACCTGCTGAACCACCGGCGGCTGCACACGGGCGAGCGGCCCTTCAGCTGCGCGCACTGCGGCAAGAGCTTCATCCGCAAGCACCACCTCATGAAGCACCAGCGCATCCACACGGGCGAGCGGCCCTACCCCTGCGCCTACTGCGGCAGGAGCTTCCGCTACAAACAGACCCTCAAGGACCACCTGCGTTCGGGCCACAGTGGAGGCTGTGGGGGCGAGAGTGACCCATCCGGACAGCCGCCTGACCCTCCAGGTCCCCTCCTAACTGGGCTGGAAACCTCTGGCCTGGGCGTTAACACTGAAGGCCTGGAGGCCAGTCAGTGGTACGGGGAGGGGAGCGGAGGGGGGGTTTTGTGAACCTCCCTCCCTTCCTGGTTGTCCGTGCTCACCCAAGGGCCCCGCAGTAATCGCTGTTGGCACATTGGTGCGCTTGGGGTCCTACGCACTTGACTAGAGACATGCCTGAGTTTGGGAACTTCATAGCATTGCAAGAACACCACACTCTGAAACCCAGAAAGGCCCGGAAAGGAGTCCGGCACCCCCATCTTTTCAAAAATGCGACCTAAGCAGACGTTGCAGGGAGATAGGAAAGCAAGGTTTGGCCTCTGGTCGGTCGTCGCGGGGCAGTGGATAGGGAACCGTGGCGGCTGTGGGTGGAGGCGGGTGCGTGGGACGGCCACCAGAGCTGGAAGCCCGCCCGGGGCAGAGCGAGTGTCACTGAGCCCTTCGTTCATTTCCCGATGCGAGACCGTTGTCACGAGAGATCGGTCAAGCCTCAGTGCGTGCTCCTGCTCCTCCCGACGCCAGCTGACGTCCACTCGTGCTCATGGACGCCTCTCCCCAGATGACAGCTCAGTATAGTCTCCCTAGGTTTCCTAGGCTAATTCCTTTAAGTACATTATGTTAAACGTTGGGTGAGTAAGAAATTTGAAAGCTTCTTAAGGAGAACAGCCCTTAACTTTTCACCAGCTTGATTTGCAGCCTTCAGCCTTGCTGGCATGTACGCTGCTGGAGACCTCTGCCCAGGCCCCGGCTAGGAAGCTGGGAGCGGGGTTCTCCACCCCAGCTTCAAAAGCTAGAGGTCCCAGAGAAATGGCAGCACAGCCTAACAGCTGTGCCTGACACATTTCTTCGAGTCATTTATTTCAAATTCTTTATTATTTATAAGTCAGTAGATGACTTTTCCATTTCTGGTGTCTGATGTTCTTGAGAGTCCTCAGCAGAAAAGGCTACAGCACTTTCCAGAAGTGTTAGGAGTTTCAGAGAGTGCCTGTGGACGCCCAGCTCCCGCTCCCCGGCAGTGAGGTGCTATCGCGGTGCGCAGCTTTCTCGAGCCCCCGGAGTGGGCTCGCCCGTCTGGCCGTTCCCGCGCCGGCAGGGGCAGGTCACCGAGAGCCAGGCCACAGGCAGGGACGGCCTCCACCTGCTGATCATGCTTGTAGGGACCTTGGCTGCCGTGTGTCCTTTTGTCGCGGTCATTCAGCCACCTGGGAGCATTTGAGTCTTTCCTGCACCAAAGTAGCTTGGCAATTGGGTGTAAGTCCCTTTCTTTCCTTTTATAGATCTCAGATTTTTGTCTGCAAAATGAGGCTGGTGAAAGGGAAAAAGTGAGTTTCTAAGGAAATTTTTTTTAAATCTTGTGATACATTCCTCCTCCTGCCAAAATCCTATCTTTGCCTCTGGCTTCTACCCAGGCAACACCAAATAAGCAGCAGAATCAAAGCAGACACATTCCTGCTGAAACTTGACTGAAATCAGTTTGGGTTGTTTTATTCTCGCTTTGAGCCTGGGGTGGAAGACAGAGAGTGCAGCGGTGCTAAGTCCTAGGCAGGTGGGCTGTGTACTGCCCACACTCCTGTTCCCCCTGAGTCCATCTGAGCTGCCTCCAAACAAGGTCCGGGAGCAGGTAGGACACTTAGTTGACGAAATGGCGAGGGAAGGACCCGTGTTTTCCTTATCACCTAGCTCACCCTTGACCCCGCTTGGTTGTATATAACCACCCTGGGAAAAAGCACTTACCCAGCTAGCTTTGCTCCTGGGAAGGCTCTGCCTGAACGTGCCGTTCTGCAGGACGATCGCACTTACAACGTCTGCCCTGTGCCACCCACAACGCCAGGGACCACGGGAGAGAGACCTCAGCAGTGTGTGTGAGACCGTAACCTGGAGTCTGAAGGTGGTGGAGAAAGCCAAGGGTGTAGAACAGACCAAGACAGAGGAGGAACAGAATGCTGGCGTGTCGGGGGCTTTCTAGCGGGGACCTGGACTCGTGCTCTGAGAAAATTGGGGGTTCTGGGAGTTCTAGTTGCACGGTGACCCACTGGGAACCTGAGCGGGGTCCAGCTGGGTTTGCAGCTGGGCCTCCCTCAAGAAAAGGTGGAAGAATCAAAGCACTACCTTTGGATGGTGCGTTCCCTTTCTGAAGGGGTTGGAGCGTTTGCCAGGGTATGCACCAGAGGGGCTTCTAGGTGTGACGCTGGACTAGGTGGCTTGGGCGATGAGCGGTTTACTGAAGACGCCGAGTTTCCCAGTGACAGAGACCCGGGGGTTAAAGTGCTAGAGGTAGTTCCCACAAGCCCTCCCGCGAGGGGCTGCCGTCAGCAGGGTCCCGCAGTCCCACAAGAAGCGAACACGGTTCCCGTACCAGTGAAGCCAGAGCCGTGAAGCTGAGTGAAAGGGAGAGGGCAGGGCCACGTCAGAAAGGGGGAGGTCGGCGTGGGCCTGGCCTTGGCCCGGGCGCAGGCCAGGAGTTCGGCTGTGGTGCATTCTGGTCTTCTCTCCCTCCACCGGCTGGAACTCCAGGCCAGCTCCAAGTTAGAGAGTTCGTTTGCCCGGGATTCCAGAACGGATAAGGGAAATGGATCGGTGGGAAGAGAAAGCCCAACAGAAAGGTTTCCGTGTGCGGAGAAGTGGGGTCCGTCAAGGGCTCCCGAGAGCAGCCGCACGGGTACCCCAGCAGTTAGACGAGCACCTGTGGGTGGGTGGTCAGGAGCAGGCGCGGGAGGAAAGAGGGAACGCCAGGGCGAGCTCGTCCGTGCGCCCTCTGGGCGAAGGGTCGGTGCTGTGCCGTCGATCAGAGTGGAGCCCAGCGTTGACTGCAGGACCAGATTCACCCTTTGCTCCCTAGGTGTTCCGTTGTCGCCACGAGATGAACCTCTGGTTCAGCCGCAGATGTGAAAATAAATGGAAGTCGATTGTCTAGAAGGAGAGCGCTGACGACTGGTCCTTTCTGCTGCGTGTGCGGTACCGGCAGCACCGCGGCCGCCCTCTGGCTGGAGCAGTGCTTCGAGACATCGCTCCCCTCGGCGAGGACAGTCTGCGGAGCTCTCGCTGGGGCTGCCGTCGCGCTGGGGCTGCCGGGCTGCGGCGGGGGCGTTTCTGAGAGGGTTGAGTGTCCGTGCCTGTCACCACCAGGACCAGACCCTGTGGCTTCCCCGGGAACGGCATGCCCGCCGTCCCAGTCTGCAAAAGCCTTGCTGATGTCAGGGGCCCCGAGCTCCTGTATCTGTTCGCTCCAAATGGCGTGGAGGACCCCAGTCTCTGCTCACATGTCCTCCTGAGGAGGCGCAGGAAAGCCCCCGTTTCCTCCCCCGTAGGGTAGCTTCTCCCAACAGCTGGCTGCCCCACGGCTGCTCGGGGGCAGTGGGTAGAAGCAAGCCCTTCCCCAGAGAGCTCTCGCCGACCAGGAACTCCTTCCCGGTGGCTGCCTTCAGATGCGGGTCTTGTCTGTGTGCCCGGTGGGTACCCTTGGCCCTGGCCTCTTCACTCCCCAGAGGAAGCAGTGTTTGTACGCCAAGGACACTCTTTAGGGAAGTGGCGGGCCCTTACAAGCAGAAGGTAGTCAAGTTAGGTCAAGCCGGGGGTGGGGAGGGGATTGGGCCGGGCAGTGCACCGGGCCTTAATATGAGGCCACATCACGGGGGTTAGTACAGCCTCGTGGTTTTGGAGAATGGACCTGGCCCTGGATTCCAGTCCTGGCATCAACAGAAGTGACATAAGGTACATGTATTATTTAACCATCGTGAGCCCAGTCTCCTTATCTGTGAAACAGGGAGAGCGGTACCTGTGTCCCCGAGGTGTTAGGCGAGGGGACACCAGTGCAGGTGCCGAGCAGGGAGGCTGGCGCGCAGAAGGGGTCGGGATGGCAGCCATCGGGAGGTGTGCAGGCCCAACTGGAGGGGCCGCAAAGCCGGCCGAGCCCGAGCGGGGTGTCAAGAACCGAAGCGGCTCCGTGGAAGCCGGGAAACCTGAGGTCCCCCCCCTGCGTGCCCGCGCAGCCTGTTCTTTCACTCCGCCTTCTCTGTACTCCCAGCTCCACACGGCCCCGTGTGCCGTGGCGCCGGGTGGCTCTGGGTGGCTCCAGCTCCCGCGGGTGTTCTTAGTTCGGGTTCTAAGGTGTGGGTTCTGGCCCGGCTCCTCTTTCCACGCCAGGCCACGGGAGTTCCCAGCCAGCCCCTGGACTGGCCGCTTGTGGGTTACGCGCCCATCTTGGCTCAGTCACCTGCAGCTGGTGGGGAAGGCCCTGGGGCCCCCGCGCCCGGGTCTGTGACCCCCGAGCCGGGGTCTGTGACTTGGCAGTGGGCAGACGGTGGCACAGTGTGGCGTTTCTAGTACGGCCGGGACGGGAGAGAAGCGGCCTCACCTGTGTCAGGGCTCCTCGAAAGATGACCCCGTTAGCACTGTCAGGTCAGAGGGTGTCGTCCCTTGCGTAAAGGGCCTGGCTGAGAACTCCCGTGTCCCTTTCTGGGGCGTCATTCCTTCCTTCCTGGCCCTGCTTCCGTTTTATTTTTAAAGTGTGTTAGTGCCCATAATGATGTGTGCGTGTGTGTACATATGTGTGTATGTATATAACTATACATACAGAGACTTGTCGACTTGGTCAGATCGCTCCTTCAAAACAAAAAACTGCTTCACCCCTAAGACCATCTACCCACTAGACGCAGAAAGGCACAGTCTGGTCAGAGAAGCCTCGACAGCCGTGCGCTCCAACGCTCTGAAAATGGCCAGGCTACGGCTCCAGTACAATACCAGATCAAACCTCACCGGGCTCGGTGGCTTTGATTTTGTTCATTATTAGCAAAGCCAGCATTTGCTGTGAAACCGTGAAACGAGTCTAGAAATCAAGCTGCTCGAGAAGCGCACCTGAGCAGGGGCTAACACTGGCTTCTGGCCCTAGCGGGGCGTTCCCTGCCTCCTTGATACGGAGCGAGCCGCTCGCGGTGTGGGGATCTCACCTCGTTTTCCTAATTGTAACGTGCCCGTCAAACGAGATGGCAACATAAGGTCACTTCCAACTCTGAAATCATGGACTTTGAGGTTTTGCTGCCGGGTCCTGTTCTCCTTGTCAGGTTTCTCTCCCGATTCCGCCCTTCTGAGTGATTGCTTCAAGCCAACAGAATAAACACCCTGGAGAGGTAAGCGTCATGACTGAATAAAGAGTCTCTCGTGGTAACCACATTGTAATTGCTCCAAAGCCACACAAACTGACAAGATTTAAGCAAAACTATAAAATTTTGTTTTAAATACACAGTATGTAGATTGCATTTTTTAATCCTTACCTGAAGATAGGTTTTCATTGTTTTTAGAGAGAGAGAAACATAGATGGGGGAGAGAATCTTTGCTCTGTTGCCTCCCTTACACGTCCAGACCAGGGGTCAGACCTGTAACTTAGGTGTGCGCACTGACTGGGAATCGAACCCACAACCTTTTGGTTATGCGATAATGCTCCAACCAACAGAGCCCCACCGGCTGGGGCTGATTGCGTTTTTTAAGGATAGGAAAACACACCAAAATAATAGTGGTGGTTCTAGAGCGCTGGGGTCATTCAGTAGTTATTTTTCCCTGTAAATTCTGTGTAATGTAAAATACCACGTGTATAGCATTCTTAATGCTTTTAGTAAGAACAGGGGTTTGCTTTAATGAGAACGGTCCGGGAAGGGAAGTCAGGAGGCCTTGCTTTGGTCTCTTGCCTGTGGCGTGAGGGAAACGCACGCTTTCCCAGGTGCACCTGGGTGGTGCGAGGCCCACATGAAGGGCGGTCTTCGAAGTGCTCTGAAGCATTTCACGAAGGAGGCCTGAGAAGAACGTGTTGCTGTAGCAGATGCCGGAGAGTTGCTGTGGACCCGGCACACGGCTTCTGGGGTGCTGGTGCTTCTCACTCAGGACCGCGCAGTGCTGGCCCCTTCACTTCCAACTCGCTCGCCCGGGCTGGCTGCTGGGGGGAGGCTGCCTGGCGCTGCAGCTGGGGGGGTGGGGGAGCAGAAGCAGGTGTGGGCGGGGACTGAAAACAGGGCGGGATGAGGGATGAAGAAAACACCTCTGTCATGTGCTGACGTCTACCCGTGACGTATGCAGGATAACCAGTTTCACACCTACGAGGGGTCACGACAGATCAGGAAGGCAGGCATATTCCTGGAGAGACTGGATTCAACCAGCAGAACTCAGGATTAAGGATGTACATAAAACTCTGTGCATCAAGCCAGCTCTTGGCTTCGAATTTATAGTTATTAAAAAATATTATATAAGGAAAACTATCCAGAAGCCAACTTCGTGAGCAAACAACAGGATAAAAACTAGGAACAAGAATAATTCAATCATAATTTTTTAGCCGGTAAGTGATCGTTAGAATGGCGCCCAGGGGATCCCCTTGTGGGGCCGGGACAAGGACACGGGGACATGGGGAGCAGCAGGAAGCCTGAGCTGCTGGTTCTCGGCCGGCCGAGCATTGGGATAACCCGGGAAGCTTGCAGAACCGTCCGTGTGTGCCAGGGCCCGCCCCGGCACGATTTTACTCGTCTGGGATGGGGCCTGGATGTTTTTTTAAAGTCCTCTGACGTGCCTGCGAGTTTGGAATGCCGCGGAAACAGAAAGCGAATTATTGGACTGGACGTGACCGGTTAGCCTGCTTTCCTGGGGCAGGGTGCTGTGCCCTGGAGGTTAATAAAGGGTCTTGGAGTCCACAAGGGGAAGCCATACTTTGGTTGTGGGGGCAGGGCTTGGAGGGAAACAGGGCTCTGGGAATGGCTGTTGAGACAGTTCTGCCAGATCTCAGTAGGTAGGTCAGCAGCTCCGGGGGCCGCGGGAGGAGCGGCATTCACGTGAGCTGTGCATACTGCAGACGCCGGGTCCGGGGACCTGGTGCACAGAACACTGGCGGCACAGCGTGCGGGCCGAGCAGAGATGGGAGCGTCCCAGGGCCGGCACCCGCCTCCCTGACCTGTCGGGGTGCGGCCAGCACCTCCTTGTCAGAGCAGGTCGCTGAAGAACAAAAAGGGACCTTGGCGACATCATTACCAGCTCTGTTTTACAACAATACGAGGAATTAATACCTGACTGATTACTGTTAGAAAAAACAGTAGTATTCTGAATGAATACTAGACTTTATTTTGAAAGACACTTCACCATTTTTAATCATCAAATCCACACTTAACAGCGGCCCTGGCTGGTGTAGCTCGGTGGATTGAGCGTCAGCTTGCAAACCAAAAGGTCGCCGGTTCGATTCCCGGTCTGGGGACATGCCTGAGTTGCAGGACAGGTCCCCAGCTGGGGGCATGTGAGAGGCAACCAAACATTGATGTTTCTTTCCCTCTCTTTTTCCCTCCCTTCCCCTCTCTCTAAAAATAAAATAAAACCTTAAAATGAGGGTTGCCCATTGAGAAAATTCAAAAGAACATAGTGTGACTATTTCCAACATAAGACATGTCTCCTGCGTAAAGGTTTTAAACAGGTGCCTGTTGCGTTAGCACGGCGGGGCAGCGCGCTCGGGCACCGAGCGACCACTCGTCTGTTAAAACGAGCGAAGCAGCGCGGAGCCATTGAGGGCTGAAGGGAAGCCAAGGAACTTCCGTCATCTGCCGCGTCGAGATGTGTCAAGAAGGTGACGAGATGCCTATTTGAAGAAGGCTGAGAATAAACCGAACAGGGAAAAGTCATCTTTCCCCCGAGCTTCACGTAGGAATAAAGCAGGAATGTTCGGAAGTTAGGAGGAGAGGGGCATCTGGTGTGAAAATGTGTGTGTGTGTGTGTGTGTGTGTGTGCATGCGTGCCTGTGGCATTTAAGCCTGAACAGAAATGGTGGCAAAAGGTGGATCTGGAAAAAAGCAAGGATGTTGAACACTCATTCGCAAGAGCAAATTGACTGTGAGGCTGCAGAACAGGAACTATGTGTGACCGCCCCGGTAACCGTGGCGCCTCTTCTAAGCAGT